AAGTGAGAATGGTACATCTTTCTGAAAGCAAAACTTGATTTCTGCCTATCTCCCTAATATCACCTTTTTAATTTGACCTTTTATTCTTATTATTTATTATTACCACCATAAGGCCAACATGAAGAGGCAATATAGTTATCCCCAGTGGGGCAGGTACAACACCAGTATCAGATACTTGAGTACCAGGGCACTTGAGGCAGCCTGAACTTAACTCTCAAAACCATAAACCAATGTGATTTTATTTATAGACTAAAAGAGGGCGGCTGCAAGGAAGTTGCAAGTCTACTGCTGCTTCTGAACTAGCAGTGGCAAATTCATTAGCTGCATGGAAAGTGTTCCCAGAAACAAACACATTTGTGTTATGCTACTCAAATATGAAGAAAATATACCCTTTTAGACACTGCCTAAAGAATCAAGGTGGTGTAGGAGATCCAGATTGTTCCATGTTAGAAAAGCTGAAGCAAGAAAAGAGGGGTTTCCGTATTTTTCTAACACACTCCCCAGCAAGTTACAATTTCTCTAGGCCAATCCAACAGTAGGCACACAACAGGTTCACAGCATGCTTACATTCCTAGGGGAAAACAGCAAACACGCAGGTAATTCACAGAACACAAGTAACAAGATTTGCATTACCAACTGAAAATCTTCCAAGGACGGAAGTCCAAAGGAATTCCTTAAAATGTATTCCACCACAATACACACACAGATCAGACCGCTGCTGCTTGAAAAGAGGAAAGCTTTTCAAAGACACCACAAAAGTCTCAGTGAACAAACATCGCACTGGTTTTCAAAACATGATATGCTTAAACATTATTCCCAAGGAGAAAGACACCACACATACTCCAACAGACTACATATGACTTTGGACAACTTGGATATAGGCCAGTCTAAGTTAGAAGGCAACTGTTCTACCTTTTGCCCTTAAACTCTTTTCTAAAAGTTTTGGCAGGCCTGTCTGTCTTTTATTATAGCTCTTCAAAATAGCCCATTGCCACAAAACCTCACCCAAAGTTTCTGGAATGTTTCTCCTTTCTCTTGTCACATCTGAGAGCCTAATTATCGTTCCTTCTTTCCGCTCAGTTTTGAAACGTAATCGTCCAGACTCTTCATCATCATCCTCCTCTTCATCAGATTCTTCTTTTGTTTCTTCTTGAAGTTCCAGAGATTCAATAGCTGCCTGAATCACAAAATACAGAGGACATGCAAACTGAAAAATCTACTTTCTTGTGATCAGTAAGTGTCAAAAGACAAAGCTTTCTTTAAAGGTCCCACTGTACAAATTTTGCTGGCTTTATACATTATTCTCATACATAACTCAGTGAACATTTAAGAGCTTGGTGATTTTTTTTAAATAAAGATATGAATTATATAATAAATTATATAGCAAAATCTATGGAGAAAACCCATTTTGCTTAATATTTAAGGGAATATGGAAACTCCAGTTAGAACCACCATCTGATTAGTAGCTACTTTTGCATTACAGAGTAACATTTTATCCCTGAATTGACTAAGACGCAAACCTGCAACACCACCAGATTCAAGTAATACAAACATTAAATCATTAACTTCTTTTCATTTTTTACTGTCAGTAGCATGTTGGTTAAAAAAAAAAAAAAAAACCCAACAAAAACCAGATAACCTTACATCTCAATTTTATTCCACTAGGTATGTACAACTGTACTTGTCTTTACTTTTTCTACTCCTTGAATACTTCCCAGTTTTAATTCAGCAACTGACAAAGTGAATGGAGAACAGGATTGGATAAAATTTGAATATACTAGATTTGTATACTGGAATGCTACTCCCTTGCCCTCATTTACTTTCCAGTTCTCTCTACAATGGAGAACGTTTATTTAGATGAAACAATGTGCCAAATGAAAATGGATTACTCTCAAATTAAAAAAACAAAAAAAAGAAAAAATCAATTTCATTTTCCTGTGCTGGCATGATAAAATTAATGTTCAGAATGTTACACAAGCTATATTTGATTTCTAGAGTTGAAAATTAGAAGTGTTCTAATATAGTACGATTTTCCATAAAATATTTGGTTACTGTGTATTTGGTTATTTCTTGTGCAAGCCTACTTGCTCATTTCTTAGAGCCTGCACATGCATTTTAATTCTTTGCAAAGCCACTAAATACATTATAACTTTTACGTTGCTTGAGGACAGTTAAAAATGAGTGAGATGTAACATGCAAAAAACTGTTTAACCTTCTAATTAACCAGATTGGTGCAGTAATTTATACAAAAAAAGGCACAGCAAGTATCTGTCCACCTGACTGACACACTAAGTCACAAATCAAGAAAAAGAATTAATGGCAGAATGATGCAAGAGATTGCAAATTTCCTTATCCAGGAGTCCAGTTTCATCCAAACCCAAAAAGACACATGGGAAGCAAGATCCCAGGCAGGATCTGGCAAGACAGTTTCTACTTTAAAAGACAGCACACCGTATGAACTCCAGCTCAAGGGTTCTCCAGCTTTGGTCTGGTGAATAAATCATCTGTATAATTAGTTACTGGGCTTTAATGGGTCACTGATCCCAAGTTATTTTCATTTTATCATCTCCTTGTCACAGAATGTGCTTTATCCATTCCAGGCAAACCTTCAAACACTACACTTCCTGACCTCACAAAAATGCTTTAAGATATAGCTAAGAGAATAGCAAACGTTTACAAAAAGCTTTAAGGCTTATACTTTAAAAAGATATTTACTTTTACATATGGACATTACAATATAAAAAAATGCAGCTAAAAACAACAGACAGGATATCAGGAAAAAAAAATCCTTCAAGACTGAAAGAAATCCAAACCTCAAAAGAAAACCCAAACTGAGCACAAGTGGTCTGATTAACATAACCATGTATAATCAAAGCACCTCTGAGGACAGGCAGTTGAGACTCGTGGAACAGAGGAGGCATGTTAGCAAGGAAAGGGATGCTAACATGGTTTAATAAAAACAAACAAAAACAAGGGAGAAAGACAGAGTTAGCATTTTACTTTCAAAAGAGGGACTCCCAAAAGAGAACAGAGTAGCAGTCTCTCTATCAAATCTATGTTTTTAAATACCATAAACCCCCTAATTTTAGTCTTCCAATGTTGTCTTTAAAAACTTTCCCTTCAGGATCAGTATTTGGAAATTAGAACTGGAGTAGCTGTTTTGGCGCTCTCACTACACTGAGCCTTCTGCTTTACTTTAGAGCATAAACCCCAGACACGTCCACTCTCTATGTCCATGCCCCTTAAAAGCTATGTTGGAATTCCAGTTTTTATTCATCAAAGACTGGTCTCAGTCATGTAATCTCATCTGTGAGTGCAAGCCTTACTCGTGCAAGGCTCTACATGTGTCTCAGACTGCAGAAGCAGGACTAGAATGGCTAATGCAGTCTGCACTGTCCTGAAAAATTTTGCAATGCTTTAATGAAATGCTACAGAAAACACTTGTGGAAATACTGTTGCCTTTTGATAATTATTCATTCTGGAGGAAAAAAAATTTCATTGTAAAAAATAAAAAGCAAGTTGTAACAGACTACAAGACAACTACTTTCCTATGCAACAATAAAAAACATTTCTCAAACTTTTCTAGACCAGCACTATTCTGTTTAGCCACTTATACCAATTCTGTAGTCTTCTCAACTCACTTTATTCATCAGTATAATACTCATGCCACCTATTAACAAACAGCCATACAAGCGTTAAATATCAGAGACAAAAAAAAAAATCAAAGGAGCTAATGAAAAAGCAGGCACCAAGGAAAGGCAGTGCTCGAGAATGCGAACTGACCCATGTCCAAGTCTGATTACATGTATTATTGAGGGATTTATATTAGTTGCAATGGAGACACAAACATGTCTGACAGCCAACCATATGTTCTCTACATATAGCTCCAGGAAAGGTTATCTGAGCTGTGTAGGAGCATACACCCTTACCCTGCAATTTGTTCAATAGTTGTAGCATGCAACACTTCTTTAGATCATCTTTACCAACTTCCAGCCTAACAGGATGAGTTGTTTTGCCAAGATTACAGTATATGAATGGATTCTATGTTTCAAAAGAAATTTATACAGGAAAAGACACAAGCGCAGACACAGAACTAATACATACCAGTACTTAGAGGATTCTATTTAATACTTGCTAATCATGAATATCTCTGAATATACATAAACAGTCCTTGAAGAGCCACCTGGACTAGCCAGCCAAGACTTCTTAGCAGCTCTCCTTAAAGGGAGCTTAACATTTCCCATTATGACACCTTGCACAAAGCTACCAAAGAGCTTTGCTGACTTTTCCAATAATTACCTTTCTCCTATCACAAGGTCAGAGTTTTCTGCCATCCTCATTAAATAATTATGCCATAAATCCCAGTCACTGACCAGAACCCCCCGCGCTGGGTTATGATCTGCTATGGAGCAAGAGTGAGCGCTCCTGCTCCAAGCAGCCTGCCACCCAGTTGCAGGAATGATAACAGACATAGCCCAAGGAAAGCAGGAGAAAACACTAGTCAGCATGATAAATGCTGATCTTAGCACAGGATCCTCCTAAACATGGGACTGTCAAGTGTTCTGGAGAGCTTTGTGCCAGAGTGCCAAGATGTACAGAACAGGTAAGCACTGTAAAGGCTAAACCAGATCCCTTCCATGTGAAACGTTATGAAGGTGACTATTAACTAGCTAGAAAATAAGCAGTGGAGGCTTCTACCAGAGGCTAACACTGAAGCACCAGCAATTGCTCAATCCTAAGGGATCAAGAAATAACAGAGAAGAGGATGTTACAGCTATTCCAAGGGCACCTCCACTTCACAGATGAAAAATTGGAATAAAAAAAACAAACTGAAGAGCTTCTAAATATGTTTAAAACTTGGCTGTTTTGATTTGCGCTCTTTTCATCATTTTCCTCCAGGCTGACAGGTAGTGTCTTCAAACTTGAACAAAAGACCTAAAATGCATTAAGTTTTGGCTACACACAGATGGAACAATTCAACAGGCAGACACATTGGCCTTTTTTTTTTCCAAGTCTGTATTCTATCAAAAGAAAAGCAGTATGCAGCACTTCTTCATGAAATGTTTTCTTGATTAAAGTCCTCATCATTTCTTATTAGCGTAACCCAAGACATGGTTTAAATTTATGCAATGAGAAACCCCCTATCATAGACTTCACAGCAGATTAGTTTCAATATAAAACAAGGAAATTACGAATTCTAATTTTAGGAGGTTACATTTTTATGAATATTTCATAGAAATAATTAGTAATATTATTACTCTAAAAATATTTAGGACATAACTCGTGTAACTGACAGTTTTACCACACCTATTTGCTGCTGAAACTTCTGGGTATTAGGTTTTGCTTTGTACCTTATGAAGGCAAAATTATTTTCTGAAACATCGCTACATTTTTCAAGGAAGCTCCATGAAGAGTGTTATTCATTCAAAATCCAAGTTCTAAGCACTGTTTCAAATTAAATATCAAGTGAAAAAGCATACCTTGAACCTGATCTGGCCAAGGACAAACTTTTCCTGACTCTTCCTCACATCTCCCACCTGACTGCCACTCTTAAAAGGTCTCTCACTTCCCTTCTTCACCCATTTCCCCCATGATGTTCCAATTCCCCAGCCAGTCAGCTCTTCCCTTGGTTTACAAAATTTCTTCATGCAATTTAAGAGGCTTCATTTGGTTTTAATGTGGAAACTGCTTAAAATACAACACTACCAAACATTTTTCTCTATCAGCTCGCCCTCAGTTATTCAGATGCCAACTTTCAATCAAGAAATAACAACGGTATTTATTTGTACCACAACTACTACAGCTCCATTCTTGTGTCACATTTTCTACAGGAGAATGCAAACAATTACTCTTGTTTACAAGCACTGAATTTTATGAGATTTAAATATAACACTTGAATAAAGAACAAAACTATTCAGAGCTGGAGGCACACAACTAACCATGTAATAAACAGAAGTGCATACTCTACAAAGATTATCTCTCTTGGTAGTATTCTCATTTGGAGAGTGCAATTACAAGCCTACAGACAAAATGTAAATAAGCTACATATGAAATAATAAATGAATAAAAAGATGGTACTATTTTGGAAACAAGAAACCTGTGGCAATCTGCAAGCCATCAGAATAAAACCAGAATGTAGATTAACTGAATAAAGATGTGGCCAAAACGTTCCCATTACATGATAAACAAATTCTCTAAAAGCTCTATTAACAAGTTCAATTAAAAATTTGCATTAATGTTATCTTTTGAACGAAAGGAATTTAATTCTGAATTGAACAAAATTAGACAACACAATTATTACAGAATTCTCACTAGATCATACTCTTAAAAATGAAGCTGTGCTTTTTTAAAGGCGTAAGGTTGACAGTGAACCCCAGCTATGTACTTAATTTTACATGATGTGCAGTGCTCTCATCATCTCATATAGACTGTGGCTGCAGATAGCACAAATGCATCAGGCTGCTTTTAAACCACCAGAAGGAAAGTGTATATAATCCAGTGAATGAACAAAATGTGTTCAGGTGTTTCACAGTTATTTGGAAGGGTAGATTTAATACTTAGGAAATAGGAAATTAACTATGTTTAATGTATATTTGGTGTAAGATGTCATGCTTGCAACAGCAAAGACTGAACAATGCAGGTGGCCCCTTTCAACACATCTCTCTTCACCTACCAAAGAATGTTTTATTATTATAAGTTTGCTACAACTAGAGAGTATCACAGCACACCCATTTGTTAGAACTTCATAGAAGAACGCTGCTGTGTCTTTGAGGAATTAATTTCCTGATGAGTTAAAACTCCAAAGAGGGAACACACTGACTACACTTCTCAGCAGGTAATCCATTCAATCCTATTTAATTAAGAACTGGAATAAAAGTAAAATTAAAGCAGATTCCTGGTGGGGAAAGGAAAAAAAATCCCACATCAAAAACTTGCTGCAAATTAGTAACAGGTATGATACCACTGTTCCAGGCTATAACAGTGAATGTATACTTGACAGTTTCTGGCATAAGCGTTCTTCTTGCAAATGAAGGAACTCATCTTTTTCCTAACTGAAGAATTAGGATAAACTTCACAGAAATTTCAGTCACAATACAACTTCTTTCAAAACAATGATCTGACCTTTGCCTTCCTAACATACAGAACCTTCCATGCTCACGCTCCTCCTCAACATGGGATACCCAAGAACTGTATCTGCACTCCCAACAGCAGCAAATTATCCATCTGGAAGTGAGGCACCATAGCTCTAAGAGATTTAACAGACAGCATGCAGTGTTACTATCATTCTAACCAAAAGGGTCCCTGAAGTTTCTAATGCTGAAGCTAAGATTAACTATGGACATTTTGAGCTCTCCCTTATGACTTTCATCCCAAGGGGGAGAGGGGATCTGTGTATCTGACAATACAGATGCTATCACCATTCATCTTATACAAAGACTAATACCACAAATACTTCAACCCTGGCAAAGTTGCATCAGTTCTTACCCAGCAATATGGACAATACTACAAATTCAAAGTCTGAAACTAGTTATTTTAAGTTTCCATTCAATTCACAACATACCTCTTCTGATTCATTTGTTATTGTCTGGGATTCTTCCAGCTCCTCATCAGCTGTATATTCTTCTTGTTCTTCCATTGCTTGCTCGTTATATGATTGCATGTAATCCTCATCCTAAGGCAATAACACAAGAAGGTGAAAAGACATAGGCCAACTTTACAGAATCACAAACCCATTAAGACATGTGGTCAGTATGCATTGTTACTGTTTCCAGAACTGGAAGAGAAGTATTGTATTTATCAGAACTGTCAATTTTAAGTGACATCATATAAGGTTGTATTGGGTTTGCATGGCAAGGTTTTGGTAGCAAGGGGGCTACAGGGGTGGCTTCCGTGAGAAGATGCCAGAAGCTTCCCCTATGTCCAAGAGACCCAATGCCAGCCGGCTCCAAGACAGACCCGCTGCTGGCCAAGGCCGAGCCAGTCAGCAATGGTGGTAGCGCCTCTGGGATAACATTTAAAAAGGGGGGAGAAAAAAACAACTGTGCAACTGCAGCTGGAGAGAGGAGTGAGAACGTGAGAGGAACAACTCTGAGGACCCCAAGGTCACTGAAGAAGGAGGGGGAGGAGGTGCTCCAGGTGCCGGAGCAGAGATTCCCCTGCAGCCCATGGTGAGACAGCTGTGCCCCTGCACCCATGGAGACCCACGGGGGAGCAGATATCCACCTGCACCCGGGGAGGACCTCATGCCGGAGCAGGGGGATGTGCACAAAGGAGGCTGTGACCCCATGGGAAGCCTGCACTGGAACAGGCTCCTGGCAGGACCCATGGAGAGAGAAGCCCACGCTGGAGCAGGTTTGCTGGCAGGACTTGTGACCCTGTGGAAGGGACCCACACTGGAGCAGTTCGTGAAGAACTGCAGCCCGGAGGAAGGACCCACGTTGGAGAAGTTGGTGGAGGACTGTCTCCCGTGGGAGGGACACCACGCTGGAGCAAGGGAAAAGTGTGAAGAGTCCTCCCCTGAGGAGGAAGGAGCGGCAGAGACAACGTGTGATGAACTGACCGCAACCCCCATTCCCAGTCCCCCTGTGCCGCTCGGGGGGAGGAGGTAGAGAAACTGGGAGTGAAGTTGAGCCCAGGAAGAAGGGAGGGGTGGGGGGAAGGTGTTCTAAGATTTGGTTTTATTTCTCATTACCCTACTCAGTTCTGATTGGTAGTAAGTTAAACTAATTTCCCTGAGTGGAGTCTGTTTTGCCTGTGATGGTAACTGGTGAGCGATCTCTCCCTGCCCTTTTCTCGACCCAGGAGCTTTTCGTTATATTTTCTCTCCCCTGTCCAGCTTAGGAGGGGGAGTGATAGAGCAGCTTTGGTGGGCACCTGGCATCCAGTCAGGGTCAACCCACCACAAAAATATAATTAGCAGGGCTTTTAACTAGACAATAATTTCAATATTATCAAATCCATAACCAAAACAGTTTTCATTCAGATCCCACCAATGTCATCATAAAGATCCCGTCTACTACTGCTTGTCCCACCTACTTCTGTACTTCTACATCCTTTATGACTACAAATTCATGAAACAATCACTGCAGTACTTTCTTACCAAAGGAAACATGCACCTATAGCACATATAGATTAACATCAGACTTTACCCCATCAAAAATATAAACATTCTTAACATTCTGCAAGTGCTTACACATGAACAATGATGAACAAAAAACAAGAGCAAAACCTTTCCTAAGTTTGCTAGTATTTTAAATTATCTCATTGATCATATACAGTCTTAATTAAGATTAAATCATTTCACCAGCAATTAAACCCAGTGCATGTTCTCTCATACACTGCTTAAATTATATTGAATTATGCAGGTGACATTTTCTGAACTAACCTCCAATCTCTTTATTCAGGTTTAGACAGTTCTCAGTTACAAAAAGGATGAACGAGCAGGACATCAATCACTTTGCGATATTAGCACCTTAAAGATGTCTTTAGCAGGTCAATAATCTTTTCACCTTCGAAGGACTTTATCAGATCTTGTCTAAAGCCTGGATAAAAGCTTTTGCATTAAGTACTTCTAACAATTGGCAGTATATCTCCACCACACAAAGCTGTTTTCTTCCTTAAGGATAGGATCCTCAAGGTCATGATTCTCAACTGCCTTCCAGCATGACAAAGGAGCATTACCTACCGCCAAACAAGCTGTCAACACAAACTTTGTCACAGCCTAGATAAAGAAACTGGCAGACAGTGATAATAGGTCTAATTTCCCCTCCTCCCTAGGGAGGTAAACAGATTTCAAATCAGTCTAAAACCCTATGCACGTGAAGCAATGTTATCTTTGAAGATACAATAGAAAGAAACTCACTGGAAATTCATCTAGGGGTTCATTGATTTCAAGGTCTAGCACTTCATCTTCTTCTCCAGGCTCTTCCCCATATTCTATTTGGTCTTCTGTCAGTTCAGGATCATTGCCTTCATAATGTCCTTCCTCTGCATATTCTGAAGCATATACTTCGGGTGCTTCAGATCTGTCATAAACGATTTCATCTTCCCCTTGGTCATACTCAGATTCATGTTCTATCGATTGATCGTTGATGGTCTCAGGGAGTTCGTATGATGTAAGTATGCTAGATGTAGCATTGAGGCTAACTGTGACACCTTGAGAACTATGGTATGGGGGGGAAAAAAATTCAGAGGTTGAAGCGTAACAGTCAACTACTCACAAAGGTTTATCAAAACAAAGCCAACAAATACAAATTCTCTAAGTTGGTGCACAAAATTATACCTCACACACTATTTGATTCCATGCCATATTCTCATAATGCGTACTGTACTGCAGCTTATCACCAGCTGCAGGCTATTTGACCAAGGGAATCAAACCAACCAGATGGTTTAGCAGGTCAAACTGGCAAAAGCCCTGCTTGGTAACCAAAGCAGTCTGGATTCAATTTTAATTCAGAGACTAAAAAAAAATTTACACAGAATTACTATAACTGCACCTGTTTTCCCAATGTTTCAGAATAAGCTAGTAAACTATTTTTTATTAAATGTATTAATACTGTTCCTTCTTGATTATTTTGAATTCAAACTTACACATTTGTGACAGATTTAATGTTCTACTTAAAATAACGTAAAATATAGTCAAGAACTGCCATTTAAACATCTAAGATTTATTCTAACTTAGTAACAGCACTGGCACAGACACTGAAAAAAACCCAATCAATACAAAACCTGGCAAGTTTATAATCTGGAGGAAAAGCAAAACTCAGAATACTGTTTACAGTAGCTAGTGCCATCAACACGTAAAAGAATGACTAACCAACTGCAGACTAGTTAGAAAAGCAGGCAAAAAAAGCTCTTCTTGATTTGAGGGTTTCGGGTACAAGGAAAACAAAGTTGTGGGTTTTCGGGGGCTTTTTTTTGTTGGGTTTTTTTTTTTTTTTTTTAATTACATTCCTATTATTTACTATTTTCTTAAGTTTGGGGGAACAAGGTCCAGGCAGCTTTGAGCTATTTGCATCTATAAAACAGAGAAGATTTAACACAAAACAAAAGACATCATGCAGGATTATTATTATCTATCCAACTAGAAAGGCATAAATGAGTTTGAATGGAAATAGAGGGAGAAGGGAAAGGAGTGGAGCAATGCTCTCACTCCCTGGCAATGAAACTGCTAAAAATGCAAGACCTGTCTACATAAATCTGCTTCTACTGCTCAATATTATCACACTTTAGGCACTTTCTCATCACTCGTGCAGTCACATAGCCATCCCTGCAGACCAGGGCTCACAAGGAGGAAATGCAAAGAAGAAACAGCAAGGACTGTAACTGGGATTCCCCGTTTTGAAGGGGACAGTCCAGTCCTCACTCCTGCAGGGAGGAAAACAGCAGCCAATGGAGACATTGATGGTCTGAGGTATCTCACCATACCCTCATCAATCCAACACAGGGACAGGACTCTTTGTGCTAACTCCAGCCAAGGATAGAACGGAGATCTCAGAGCAACATATGTATATACATTATACATACATATATATTCATACCCCTTCAGATGACATGCCTGCATAGCATGCAAGAAGGAAAAGCTAGCAAAACACAGGCCATTAAAAGCAGCAGTGGTACTGCATCACAAGCATTCTCCTTCCCTCTTCAGTCCAGCTTGAAAAGTAAAAACGTCAAGACACTCATTTTGAGTTGTAATGCCCATAATTCAGCTGTGGAGCTGTATCATCACAGGGTATTCACAGGGCAGGATCCTCAGTAAACTCCCATGGAAGTATCTGCTCAACCCTATAAACTCTGTACAAAATTTTCTGCTGTGTAATTGTATACAAATATTTAAGCGACAAATCAAGCCTTACAAACTATGAAGCTCCCCTCCTTGGCGTCCTAGGAGTTAAGATATATTTTTAAAAGAAAGATGGCAAAAAAGGAAGCCCACAACAATACCAAGAAGGCACAGAACAAGAGCTCTGTAAGTATTAATAAATAATTCTAAATGCACAGGAGATGATGCAGTCTCTTCTCTATAAGCTTTTTTTAATAGATTTGAGTTAAATATATTAGATTCAAATAAACAAAAAATCATTTTACTGAAATGCTAACAATGCTACAAAACACATTATATATACACATCATTAAGTAGCTCACTAGGTAAAAAGCAAAACTATTTTAAGTATATACCAATAACTTCAGTTTAGTAGTTACTAGTTATCAGTAGTAGTCATTAATAGCTTAGAGTTATTCAAAACCCAAGACTTAGAAAAGAGATACCGAAATTCTTGTTCCTCTTCATTGTCACTTTGCAGAAGATCATCATTCAGCTCTTCATCTGACAAGTCTGACTGATTCTAGGTTTCAGAAAAAGTCAATCATGAACATAAGAAAGGATATAAACTTTTAACTAATTAGGTACTGAAACTACTGAAACTTCTGAACACGAAGTATTTTTTATGAAGAATGCATCCCAGACTAAGACCATATCTGCAATGAAATTACCTAATCTGATGAGAAAAAATACACCACACAAGACAACAAATCTGAAAAGAAATGTTTGTCAGTCTTACGGAAATTTACAAAACTCAAATTTGCCTACCTATCAACACTTTTCACTCATGCATTCCGAAATACAGCCAAAGATGACAACTCACTTAAATACCCAGAAGAAAGAAAGGTTAGCTTTAGTGCTCTTATTTAACTACCTTGTGACCTTGATGCATTAGGCGAGTCAAAAAAAACCCACTAAGTTACTACAGTTTCTAGAAAGCAGAGCTATTTAGCAGACTGGAGGAAAGGATATGATGAAATGAAGAAAATTGAAAAACCACAATTAGTTTGTAAGTGAAGAGAAAAAACAAAAGACAATATCATGCCTTTTCTGAACTCCTCCTAATTTGTCTATGATACTTTCAGTTGCCTTTTTTTTTCTTTTTAAATAATTACCCACTAGGAAGAGATAACTGCAGTTTTGCTCAGCAACATTATTTCCATGCTTTAAAGTAATAGGGGCAGAAAGGTTATACAAGGGTAGACTTATCTAAAAGTACTGGGATGAGATTAAGTAGAAGCCAGTTTAGCCTAAATAGCTCAGGGAAAACTTCCTGAGAAATCGTATTATTACTCCACCACAGAAACTCCTCAGAGCCCTGTAACATGGCAAATGGAAAACAAGAACAGAAAAAGCACAAGAACACATAACACAATGGAGAAATCTAGTATTGGTTAGTATTCACTCAGGTAATTTTTTTTTTTTTTTTAAGATAAGTAAGTTACTTCATCAACTCATGTTTCAACTACAAAGATGTATGCAATGTTAACTGCTTATGTTTTTGATAACTGCATAACACACATCTGCAATCCCCATCCTCCTTGAATTTTATTTCATTTTTTAAATGAGTACATGAGACAAAGGAACTTCCTATCTTTAATACAGATTACTTACAGAATAATTTCAAGAAGCTAATTTCCAACATTTAGAGTGTGATTATAAAAAACTACATCTATTAAAACTCAACTTTTACCAGATCTGGGTTTCTTAAACCTATTAATCTCCAACTAAAACTTTAAAAACTATTTTCTAAATGAATTCATTTAGCAGATGAAGTGGAGAAAGAGGGGACTAGCCAGTTTTGATTTCCTAAACAGAAGCCCTGTCTTCTGCAGATATCTAGCAAATTCAAACATACATTTAGTTCTATTCATAGAGTACAATTTTGGAAACAGGTATCAGAGTGAGGAGTCTATAGCAGACATGGGTGAACTCATTTATGTTCTCCAATGCTAGCTGCTCCCATATCCTTCCCTCACTGTAGAAGGGGAAATCCTCTGCCTACTCATTAGACATAGTAGTAGTGGATTGTGTACAGTGAGTAGATCTTTAACAGACACCACTGATTGCTTTTTTCTTTAGTCTGGTAAATACTGATGGTATTTTCATGAGTAGCTTTTAACAGCCAAGAAACTGGCAGTTGAAGTGAATTCTCCAGAATGCTAATCAGCACTCAGGAGGCATAATTGCATTTTTTTGTTTTGGCTTTTTTTAATTGTTAAGTCAGTATGAGCTACAGAAAAACTGATTTTGAGAACCATCTCCTTTTTGAACCGTATGTTATGAGAAGAAATACTGTCTCTGAAAAAAATATTTCTTCTAGAAGTCTTATTTTAAAAAGCCACACTTCGAGGTACTTCACAAAAGGAAACAGAGCTCTGGATGCAGAGCGCTCTGGTAACAGGGCAGATCTCGGGTACCTGTGGCTGTCAAGACTTTGGGAAGGTGACTGTAAAATACGTAAAAGGCCATACCAAACTGAAGTGGGTGAGCTGAACAACATTCACATTTTATTATCTGTAACAATTCACTTCAATCCACATCTCTTACCTTTTTGCCAGTTAGCAAATCCTCTCCAAGCAAGTCATCATCAAGTTCACTGGAAAACATTAACAAATTTAAGAAGCTGAACCTCAGAAAACAGAAACAAACACCATATAGGGTATACAACTTAAAAAACTAACTTGAGGAGAATTGTCCCTGAGTCTGCACAAGGCTTTCCTTTTAGCAAAGCATTCAGCAAGTTGAAAAAGGAGATACTTAATATGTATGGTCTATTGTTTCATTTAAAATATGTAAGACTACTGTTGCACTGTCGTTTCATTTCCACATGCTCTCCTTTCCATATCCCTCCAACCATAACACAGCACATAAACCTAGACAAAGTGCAGGCATTTAAAACATGGTTAGCTAGGTCCCCACTCTAGATCCTTCACTTCAAGGTCATTGAGGCGTAGTGTCCAAACTGCTGTTTCCCACCTCTTGAGGGAAGAAGCGAGTGAGACAGTAATGTCCTGTGGACAACAGTCTACAGGCCACCATGTCACGCAAGCTACACTTCAGCACAGAGGCACTTAGGCCTTGATCTTTCCTAAATACTTTATTCTCTCCTCCTCAAGTTCAGGGTAAGGTCAAACAGACATTTGTAGCATGACAAAATCAAATGCATGTTTCACCATCTTTGTAAGTGTGGCTAAGAATTCAGGAAGCATAGAAATACCTGGCTTACAAAACTCCTGCCATCACATAGCATCTGTCCCATAAATAGGATGCAACACAAAGAACTACAGTCCAGAGTAGTTAAGCTCTAGGACAACTGCTTAATCTCATTCTTCCTTCAGTGAAACAATTACCTAGTGACAGGAATAACCAGATTCCCCCTTCTACAATAAACACTTATTACTGACAGATGCCCATATTAGAACATGCATGTCCTAATACTAAAATGAGATGCCAGTGATTTGAAACATGAGCTGTTTTTCAAGAATGTGAACCTATTTCTACCTGCACACTTAAAAAAAAAGCCTTACATACTACATAAAAATTACATACCCCAAAGTGAGAATGGGCTATATGAACAGAATGGAAATACGTGTAAGAGTTCCTCAGGACTGTATAGGAAATACTTGAAAATGGAGAAGCCAATCCCAAGACATAAATCAGTGCCTAGAGTTGTATTTGCAGATGGATACATCTCTTTCAGAGCTGGTTACTGTACAGATAATGCACAAGGGGAATAAAAATCTTGTGGGCTAGAAGACAACAGATGATATTCCAAATCGGCACTAAATAGGACGTTATCACCGGTACACAATATTTGTCCACAGTTACCGATCTCAAACAGTTCCAGGAATGACTGAACATTTACAAATAGCAATTGTTTTGTCCTCACTGCAATATTAAGCAAAAATTGGGACATAAGACATATCATACATCCCAAAGAGCAAACTGACTAGAATTAAAGCCCTTCATTTCAGAGACAGAAAACTCTACGTAACAGAAATGGTTTCAGAAGAATTTAGAGCCAAAATGGAAGTAGGAAAAAGTCACTAATCTCTTCAGCTGCCACTAATCTGACAAATGCACCAGGAAGTTTGAAACTATTTCCCAGCACTATGGTCCATCACTGACAGCTCTTAATAAAGCTGCACTAGAGAAATTGCAAAAGATGGCATGAGTGTGTGTTATAACAGCATTCAAAAATGAAAAGCAAGCTCAGGTAGTAAGATATCCAGAAGGAATGAAAAAGAAAGCGCAAGATTAAATTAATTACATAAACATAGGTAGGGCTATTCAACACTTTACTAAAAACCATCCTTGATGTGATTTTTTTTTAGAAAAAGATTAAACATTTTGTCATTAGAAGTAATTGCTTCTAATTCTAGATTTTTAAAAGCTTTGGTTTATTACTTGACAGTCAAAAAACTTCACACTAACACATAAATGAAGCTCATAACAGAAACAAAGTGTTTCACAGAATGCCCCTCCAAACTTAATACAATATTCAATGTCATTCAATATTTTAATTGATAAAAGAAGAAAAATCACCATTGGTAACTTTTTGAATAAACAAAGTAACAGAGAAAAGCCTGCGCAGTAAAGTGGACCCTATCTCAAGCTTATTTTAAAATGTCCAGATGTGAAGTCATCTATCAGAAAGAAGAGGGACCAGAATTAACAGATCTGATTAAAAACAAAAAAAAAAGAAAAAATCCAGATACTAAAAGATCTTAGGTTAGCTGAGAAAAACAGACAAAAATGAGTGGTTGCAATCTGACACCACTCAAAGCCACACAAAATAAATTAAACCAGAATAAAAGTACACATCTGTGATAGTTCCAAAGGCAACTCACCCTCACTATCATTAAGACACAAAGGTCTTTCCAAAACCACAGTTCTACAAAATTAGGGTTAAAATAATCTAAGAGTTCGCGGCTTTCAGAAGAGATGGACCCATTTCATCCACTTCCTCAACTCCCAATACTCAACACTCCCCTCACTGAATAAATTCAGCTCACCAAATGAGGAAGAGAAAATAATAATAAAAAAGAAAGACAACAAAAAGTGAAAGTTTTCAGTCAAAGAAATGAATAATCTCAGAGACAGGTCAGAACAAGCAAGTTTCAGCAAAAGTGAACTACTAAATCAGCCCTGCCATCTCACAGGATAGCATCAGAACTGCATGTTTTTCCCAAACTGAAGCTTTGGGCTACTTATAGAGATAAATGTATAAATTAACAACCCATGATAAAGACATCAGACTGGCCCTTTCTGGCCTCCAATTTCATGAGCATGCCTCATTAAACATGAGCAGTAGTAAGGACACAAGTGTTTCAGGGAAAGAATTTGTAAAAAAATGTAATGGGAAAACTTCTCCAAGAACAATGTTACATTTGTACTCCCAAGTAAAAGGGGCCTTCCAACTCTCAGTTATCACCTTCCAGTGTTTGAGAAAGGAAAGTGATCTGGAAATTCAAAATTATTTAAAATGACTGGGGAATGGGACTCAGTTAAGTAGCAACACAGTAAGAGTTGATGGTTGATCAAGATGTATGACTAACAGCATAATTCCTTCACCCTCCCCCACAAAAAAAGTGATTTAGCTTGCAAAACAAAGCATGAAAGATTAAAAAAACCCAAGTCTATCTACTGTGTTCATTACGCCTTTTTTCTATCTTCAAGAAACTGTGTCCTATACTGAATTAGGCCAGTAGTTAAAAGAATTCAAGCAATTATACTAGACAACAGCATATCCATGTACAACGTTCATAATTGCCCAGACAACCACAGATTAATGCTTCCAAAGATAGCTTGGCAATCTAGAAAGAATTAATAATAAAAATAATAAAAATTCCAACACATGCAAATAAAATAATATTCTATTAAATACAGCTGCAAAGAAAGATTTTCTGAAATGATCAGCAAAATGAAACTCTGGAATCTCCAGCACTGCACCTGAAACCGCTTCCCTTACAATTTCACTAAAGAATAAACAATATGATTTTTTAATCATCTATCTTAAATTATATGCAGCTAATAATAAGCACATAAATGAAAACTTTTTTCTAAAACTGAATCCTTGTGTGCTTCAAAGTCACAGCTCAGTGAAAATACGCTATAACCTTTCTCAAGTCCTATAAAAACAGCTTTGCCACAGGGAGTTTGCCATTGGCAATAAGCTTACAACTTCCGATACAATGGCTGTTTGACTCTTGCAAGTTTTCTGAAGTGATGAGTAGGACAGCTAAAACCAAATGTGACCAGCCAGCATCTAAGAGCCCACCTATTTATATCACGAAGTCAGCAAAGGCAAAAAGTTCAGAAAATATTCCAATACAAAGCATTTTGCCTGTAATATTGGCTTCAGTATTTCTGAATACCCAGAGCTAGGGCTGGGAGGCAGCACAGTACAGTGGCCCAGCCTGAACAAGTTACTTTAATTACACTCTCAAACCAGATCAGTCCCTTGATGCAGCTCACCATCCAACCCACAAACAGCTGTGCTGGCATGACAGAGAGCAGACACCCCTCACCAGCACACAGCAGAACACCCTGTATACTGAAGCTATTGTCCAAATTCCTTATTCACTCTTACTCACCTCCTAGAGCAATGAAAACTACCCACTTAACCTAGCAGAAAAGCACAGAGGAAACTATTCTCTCTGAAATGGTCATAAATGTAGAGTAGCTGATTCACTCCAAGGGCACAGCTCAGTGGAAAATTACTTAGGGTAAAATGTGTTTACTACAACCACTTGAATGATTATTAGAAAAGACAAAAATCGTTTGGAATTCCCGCCCCTCCCTCCCTCACCCCCTTTTACAGTGAAAACCACTGGCAAAGTCTGCACAAGTCTCTGTTACTAAAAAGGAATAATAAAAAAGCAACCCCATAAAAAAGTGAACAAGTTTTCCCCCAGAAAGAATAGACAAGTCTAGCCAGCAGCATGATTCAAGTCTTTCCCAATGCCTTTGTGTAAAAGAACACACTCTTATTCTCCCCAAATATAAGCAAATTCATATGTACTTCTAAATCTTCCCAACAGTCACACTTTTTTCAATAGAAGCCCATACCTAAGCTCGATTACTCTCCCCCAATGTAAAACTGAAGTAGGACTTTGAGGATAAGAATTTAAACATCTAGTTTAAAAAAAAAAAAAAAATTAAGTTGGGCAAATTCAAGTACGAGCAAAATCTAACCATTTGAACAGTTGAGATCTATTAAATATTTAAAAGGAAAACCAGGACATTAACTGTAAAGTTAATTACACATCACAAATACGAAGTATTTATCCAATTTTAAATCGTATCTCTTCACAGTGCTCTCTATATTCCTCAAGGCAAGTATATGTTTGGCACAAGCTAGCATGAGTTGACACATACATAACAACCAACATCTTCATTAGTATCTAAATGTGCACTACTCTAAATGTTAGAATATAAAATGCCAGAATGGGAAAACAGAGCAATGTAATTCAGCATACAGAAATTGAACATAAAGATATTTTACATACCTGTCCCAGTCATCATCTCCAGCTCTTCTTCTCCAAGACCTTTCTGCACCAGGCTTATCAAACTGATCAAAGTCATCATCTGTAAAGAAGGTGACTACATTAAATAATTCTTACTGAAATGAAAGATTTCTGAAGCAATCATTTAGGTGGGATTTTTGTGGGGCGGGGAGGGGGGTAGAAGATGGAACAAAAATAGCTGTATTCTAATTTCCGTTTTAACATGAGGAAAACGCATAAATACCAACATGCTTCAATAATAAAAAAACATAGTGTACTATATAGCTTTCCCTCTTCTCACTATTGAGGTGAGGATGACCCGAGGAAAACAGATAGAGCATGAGATAAATCACTGGAAAATGTTGCCAACAAAGGTCATCCCAGGACAGAAGCTCCCCAGAAATGCATGAAACTGAGGTGCACTGGAGGTGAAGGGAACTACATCTACCAGATCTCTGCTCGCCTTGGGGGCCACAGGCTCATCTACCCACACTGAGCCTGCAAAGGCACTTTGAAAATAGGAGTAAACCTCAGGTCAGCACAAGGGCAGGACGGTACCAGCAACTCAAAACAGAGGAGGGAAGTCAGGTGTAATACACCATGAATTATCTCAACTGGGGCATTAAAAACACTAAAGTCATTGAAGCAGGTTACACTGCAGACCTAAGCATGCACATGCCTTCCAAGATAAAACTGGTGCTCCATATATTTCTCTCAACAAGTACCCTCACTTTAGTCTATCAAATCACAAATTACTCTCACGTAGCTTAGTTTGCAAGTGACAATTTTGCTACTTAAAAATACTAAAGCTTCCATTTATCTACAAAAGAAATGCAAAGCTCATCTGCTCTGTTCAGACATCCAGATGTCTTGTCATCTGAAAACTGGAAGCACATACCTTCAGAAACACTCAACCCTCACTCTCCCATCCTGTGGCTACAGCTCAACAGAGAATGCACACCTGGAATTAGTATCTTTTCACACATTTTGGTGACTTTTTTAAGAGTCAAACAAGTGGGCAAATAAAAGTTATGCTCAACACATGGGAAAACTGACTGCAGTTTAATGGTCTGCAAAATACAGGAGATTAAGCAATCCAGTCCTTCCAGCCTTACAGTCTGAATTGGTGAACACTAGGATGCCATATATCCAGTCATTGTCCTGACTTACTTGCACTCAGCTCCTGGGTACAATGCCATGGATCAAGTGGGGTTTTTTAAATGAACCTTCAAAACCAAATCTGTCTTCAGCTCTTTAAACTCAACCCAGTATCCTTTAGTGGACATTCCTGACATGCAATGACAAACCTATTAACTTCTTTCTTCACAGAATCAAAATACAAGTGTTAGTGACCAACAGAAGTTTAAAAGGAGGTAAAAACATTAAAAAGAGAAAATTCAGTTCTTGCAGTGTCACTAAATTAAGAGCTTTCAAACCAGAAATTTCAATCATAAATAGCTATGAAAGTAAGACTGCTCAGTATGAATTAGGATGCAACACAAGTCAAGTGTGTCAACTCCTTTGTTTTGAAACAGTAGGTAAAAACAATTCCCCTTGACCAGGTTCCCCCCTTTACTCCCTACAGATACTTTTATATTTCAAATAATCTTCTATATTTAAACTAATTTACATGGGCCAACACCATTGAAACAAACAGCTAGTTTACATTTCTCTGTTCAAACATCTACATATTGCAACCTCCTTCAATTCCAATTCCTATTTCACCCACAGGGAAAAGCCAGACAGATACCCAAGCATTTACTATCTTCCTCTCGAACACTAAATTATCCCATTTTGTGGTCTCTGAAAAAAATGCCACCTTGCTCCCCTTATGGTCATTCAAAACCATGCTGCAGTCATTATCTTAGTGCACTGCCATTCTAGGGCACAAATATCCTGCACTGTCATTGTTATTACAGCTGGATTGCAGTAATCCACTGACTAGATGTAACCACCTCCAAATTTTTTTTTTTTAAGGTAATGCAACTAGTTTTGCAGCAACCCAAATTACGAGCGTCCACATATTGACTAACACAGCTCAAGACAACCACCACCACCAGGAAGACAGTAACTTCTTTTTAAGCTATGCTTGCTTGCAACATACTGTATTTTTTCATGCCAGGCACCGCTTTTAGAACTAGAGAACTGTATTAGAAACCAACACCCCTTGAAGACAAGATCTTAGCTCTTCAGCACACAATTCTTACACAGATGGACCTTCACATCACCCAGGTTTAAATCTAGACAACATGAAGTTACATGCCAAACCCTTTTTCTCTGTTGAGATCTCTACAGCAAAAAGAAACACTCTTCAGTATAATTCATAGTACTTTTCCAGGCCAGATAGTTAAGTTTCATGGCCATAAAAGTGCTTCAACCTAGTATTACTGCTAGTGAAGAAACAATACCAAACGAGGGTCCACGTTCATGTCAAGTTTCTAGTGTAGACCTGGACCCCCACTCAGCCAACATCACGAACCTCCACCCTTCAGCTCTTCCAACCCCTCTAAATTTCTCACATCCTATTCCTTATCTATGAGCAACTCCTACCAAAATCCAAAGCTGAATTACACCCATGCAAAGCCCTTTTCACAAGTCCCCTCTAGCAGGACACATACAAAAGCCTCAAAAATGACTGGTCAACCTGTGTGTGGTGACCGCAGCTTATAAGAACTGTTCCACGTATGTCCCCACCACCTCCCTGTTCTCATCTCTTCTCTCCCTATCTCATCACACACTTATGATACAAAGATCTTTGGGACAGAGGGAGCCAGCTTTTCTTTTTATGCTTATTTGTTCTGTGACAGCTGACATTGACAACGAGCATTACAAATTACACCATTTTGACATTAAGTGTTGTCAGAGCCCAAAGCAGGTTGTAGCTCTCCTTTAGAAAAGGAGGTCACAACAGTCACGCATCTACAAACATCATTCATTGCCAGCTTCACCGCTTGTGAGATAGCAAGCACCGAAATGGACACAGGCCTTTCACGCGATGTGATACCTAGCAAACCTCAGCGAGGCATCTTTTTTTTTTTTTCCATTTCTGAAACTACACATATTTTCATTTTTCTTCTACCTGCCTAGGCAATAACATTGGAAAATACCAGTAAACAACAATCAGCATAACATTTATGGATGTCTCTCCTTGAGAAATTCTTATAAGTCAATGTTTGCGTCAAGCATGGTTAAGTGCCTGTAAAACATTAACTTGTACAGAAAGAGGAACATTGAGCATCAGCAGAGTACAAAACCACTGAGAACAACAGCCAAAGACTTTTTTTTTTTTTTATAGTTTTCAGTACTACTGTGTGGGAGATGAGGAGAGAAGAAAAAAGGGAGGGGGGGGAATCCATGAACATAAGCTTTTTAAACAGGAAAACATCCACTGTGTGCGTTGGAAGAGGTTTTGTATTTCTTCCAGCTGTATCAGTGCAGCCTAGAAAGGCAGTCGTATATAGCAACTGTTGCCAAGATATGCAATGCAATGGCTACAGCTCCTCGTTTCAATTCAAAGCTCTCATGGCCAAGCTCACCAAGACGTGTGCACATTAGCTGGGTATGAACTGATCACCCGTCAGGATCTTCCACTGAACACACTAAGCCCCCCCTCTCTAACTTCCAGGCAGCACTAGAAGGAAAAGAAAACCAAGACCTATCAAATACCAAAAAAGCACTAACTAAGCAAGCAAGCAGGACAGACCGGTTATACAGGAAAACAAAAGAAATAATCTACCATTTGGCTCTTCCTACTGCAGCTCTAACAAAATCACCATTATCAAAGTGACAGAGAAGTTGCAGAATGCTGCAGAGACTGACTAACGCTGGCTGTTTTGTTAGACCAGCCTGCCTCGCAAGGCTCTGGCCAGCCGTGAACCAGAATAAGCACAAAGACAGCCAAATACACTCGGCTCCCTATACTAAAAGGTTCCTATTTGCTTTATACTTACCCTGGCATAGCACCAGCAGCACTATAAGCTGTCCTATAGAGCTTATTTTTTGGTTTTATGATATATGTCCAGAGCTGTTATCTTTTTCCCTACTTAATAAGAACAGATCATCCACACCAGAAATCCACAAAATACAAGCCTCATTTCCTCTTTGGCTATGCTGACGGTAGTTTCTAATACTGTGGATGCCCTTTCAATAAAGCCTTCATTAGTCATTTTTCTATGTAAAATGGAAGTCCTAAGCTACACAGTCAAGTCTCACAAGCGTAGAAGGTGAATCAGCAGGAAAATGCAGAGCTCTTAACATCTTAAAATGGTACCAACATAGCCTAAAAAGGTAGTCCTTAGCAACTGTTGCTAAGATGGAGTACTTTACTGCAATGAGATGGCCAAGACTTCTAGACTAGGAAAAACATTTGATGACTGCCTCGTGCGTCTTCCTAGAAATACACCTGCATGCCTTCTGGAACACTAACCACATGCCATCTCATAAGCCTCCTTAACAGCTCAAAATTTTGTATTTTGGTTCCCTTCAATATTACACTATCATGAATATCAAACATACTATTAGTTTTAGGCATTGAAAAAAGCATCGAAGATTTCTCCTTATCCAAAACAAGATGGAGATGCCACAATGATCCAATAGTTCAACGGATTAAAAAAAGCATTGTGCACTGTTTACCCAACACATCTTTTAATAAAGTAACTAAGCTGCACTGCTTTTGGGCAGAACAGGTAAGGGAGCTATTTAAAAAAAAAAAAAAAAAAAAAAGGACAACTAAAGGAAAAAGGTCATCTACCACATGAAAAAATGCCACTTCTCTGTGCTTCAGCAGATTATTTAATGCTGAACATAACAAGTCCACCTTGCTCTATCCCATTCCCTGGTACCATATTTAAAACACTCAACATGACAACTTGACAGCATTTCAAGCACAAGTCTCCAGATTAAAAAGTTTACCAGCTTGTCTTTATGTAAGAGTATTCTGTAGATATAAACTATTCTTCATATTTCATTGCAAAAGTTTACACAACACATAGGTATCGTAAAGCCTTGATCTTCAGGAACGGAGTATACCATTTAAAAACAGACCACTGTTTCTGCCCAATTATGAACTGAATTTCCACACCT